TGTAAATCCAGATTTGATATTGAAGGAAAGACTTTAAACTAAGTGAGGGGCAGCCTCCAGCCCCGTTGACAAAAGGAGGACTTCCCCATGATCGGCTACATTTACAATGCCCTCGGGGAGGGATCGGGAGAGGAGAAAAACCCATGGCGAATTGGACAGTCTCTATTATCCCTGGTGTAAGGCCCAAGATGGATCTTGAAATAGGTGGCAGGAGGTTTCGCTGCCTAGTGGACACGGGGGCTGATAGAACCGTTCTTAGAAAGGAGGAGGTCCCATCATGATGGCACCTAGCTTCTGGGCCCCGAATCATAGGTGTGGGAGGATACACCCCATCAGAGGAGACTCAAGAATGGCTTACCTGGCAGGATGTAGATGGAGCTAAAGGGAACGTGTGACCCCTGGTGGTGGCAGGGTTATCCACCAACCTCATAGGACAAGATATTTTGGGGGACGCACAAGCCTGCATAATCACTGATAACAAGGCCTTTTATGATGACCTTTTGGACCTTGAAGAGTCTGATAGGCTTCCCAAGTCAGCAACTCAGAGGGTGTCTCACCATATCAATTACAGGGAGGGACCCAAAGAAAGAGCATTGGGTTCACCCCCAATTCTAAGGGCCACTGCCCCTCAGGTTCTGGCTATCCAGTGGTCCCCTGGGGCGCCGGTATGGGTGGAGCAGTGGCCATTGCCTAAGACAAAGCTACAGGCTATAAAGAAAATTGTGTAGAACAATTACTGTTGGGCCACATCCGGCCTTCTGTAAGTCCATGGAACACACCTGTCTTTGTTATTAAGAAAGCCTCTGGCAAGTGGAGAATGTTGCAAGACTTGAGAAAAGTCAATGCTAGAATGACCCTAGTGGGTACACCCTTAAGGGGACTGCCTTGGATCCCTGGTATTCCCTCAGATTTATTTCAGAGTTATATAAGGTTACTCAGAAATGTCTACAGACAGGCAGACTCCATGTATCCGCTGACAAAATATAGACTATTGCTCCCTTTAAAATTCTGGGAACCATACTCTCTTTGGAAGGAGTAAGTCCTTTAAAACCACAACTGGATGTCAAGCCCACCGTAACCCTGACAGAGCTACAAAAATTATTAGGAGAAATTAATTGGCTGTGAGCCTGGATGCCTATTCCCACTGAGACTTTAAGACCACTGTTTCAGTTGCTAGTAGGGAAACAGCCTTCAGAACTAATTCACCTGGCTCCTCAACACCTGGACATCCTACATGAGGTCCAGGATGCCCTGGACCGAGCCCAACTTGCCCGGTGCACACCTAGCAAAGATCTTGAGTTATGGGTACTCTCCGGTGAGACCCTGATGACATCCGTCCTTATGCAGGACGGGCAGCCCCTTCAATGGGTGCATGCCTCTCTGGGAGGCGTACCATGGGTTTATACACCCACAGATCAATTGGCTGACCTGACTGAAAAAGGACGTGAGGTAGCTCTGAGACATTATGGCATAGACCCTCTTAAAATTGTTATCCCGTCGGCTTAGAGATTTTGAATGGCTCTGCAGAAATAATAACCAAGTGTCCGTAGCCTTGGAGGGGTTCCTGGGAAATCTGGACTGTCATTATGGCCCTCATAAATGGGTGACCTCCCACCTCCTTTCATGCCCTCTGTTGGGATGCTCCCCGGCTCTTTGTCAGGGAGCCCTTAGTAAAAGCTTACAATGTTTTCACTGACAGGGGCAGATTTGGAGCTGCAGTGGTAGTATACCCAGGGGCAGATGAGAAACCCAAAAGATATTCCACACTTGTGATGGCTCAGCTCAATTCAAGGAATTCATGGCCATTGTTTCCTGACAGTATTCAGACTTGTATGCTCCTTAAAGAGAGAGAAGCCCCTATTTTCTTACAGCATCTTAGGGGGCACCAAGGATTGCCTGGGCTTTTATCCCAAGGCAATGCAGAGGCAGACAAGATGGCTTATTGTGTACAGGTACCACCTCTGCAACAGCCAGGAGTAAGCACCAGGGGATTATTCAAGCCCAATTCCTTATGGCAGACGGATGTCACACACTATGCTCCTTTTGAAAAGCTTAAGTATATTTTTGTGTCCATCCACACATTCTCACATGCATGTTGGGCTACCACTCATACAGGAGAGAAGTATAAACATGCTCAGTCTCATTTTCTCCAGTGCTTTGCTACGCTTGGATTGCCCCAATGAATTTAAACTGATAATGGACCATGTTTTGTGAGTAAAAATTTACAAGATTTCTTCTCACTTTGGGGAATTCAACACAATACAGGAATTCCCTACAATCCCCAAGGTCAAGCCATTTTAGAACACAACTATCAAAACCTAAAAATTCAATGACAAAAACAAAAGGGGAATAAGCCCCCACCAACAGTTGGGTATGGCCTTATTCACTATTAATGTTCTTAATTTTCAAAAAAATCAGTTGGGAATCCCGGTTTCATAAGTGTTGGGGATGACAGGAGCAGAGACCTGAGGTACGGGTAAGATGGAAGGACCCCATTACGGGGCAATGGAAAGGCCCAGATCCATTGCTAACCATGGGTCGAGGCTTTGGGTGTGTCTACCCTACAGGACATTCAAACCCCATATGGGTGCCTGTGAAAAACCTTAAATGGGTAGGCCAGGATCTGACCGACTAGCATGACGGTCCATGGACAATAGTTTATGAGACAAAATTCCTCTCTTTATTTATATCCATCTGAGGTGAAGGACACAGTTCCTTGGGTTCATTGCCAGTCAGCCTCTTTGACAACTGGCTGATTGGCTAAAAGGTACATGGTCTCAGAAGTATTTCAACGTGTCCTACGCCATGACTTGCTTTGTTTCTCTTGATAATGCTTATCTTTAAGTGTCTTTGCCAGATAATTCGGCGACAGAGGACCCTTGGAACTGCCATGGCCCACCTCCTCATGATTACAGACTCCCCCAGGACCCCCTCTGGTTGCCCACACTTGGCTAGCCAAGTTAGGCAGAGACTAAGACTGTCACGAGCTGGCATTACCCACATGGCTGCCCTTAATCATGACGCATTTTTAGCCAAGGATGGGTAAGATGTCCCATGACAAGTACTCTTAAGACAGGACATGCACATTGCCAGGTGCATGATCCAATGACGGGCAAGGCTTGATCAGAGGTGACACAACATAAGACAGGGAAAAATGCATAAGATTAGAGGAAGGAGATAGCCATCTCTCCTCAGGGAGCTGTCTATGAGATGTGTAACCCGTGAAATAAAGTCAGTCCAGCCTTAAAATAAAAATAAAAGGCGAAGATGTGGGGACCTAAAGGCCCCACCTTGCAGAAGTCCGAGAGGAAGTTACTGGTGCATGGCCTGACTTGCTTTGAAAGTCTCAAGAATACTTCCAAACTGCTGAGGAGTGCATGATCAGCTCGTGACCATCCTTAAGATACACCCTCAGGGGGGAGGGGAGATTTCCAGGTGCCTTTATAAGCTCTGTAACACCTGCAATAAATGAGTCCCTGCTTGACTAGGCTCCCCATTGCGTCTGAGTGTTCCTGGTACTGGGGGCGGCGTGGGCTGGCGAACAGCGTGCTTACTCATCCCCAATCATCACTGCACAGGGGTCGCTGACTCGAACCCCCCGCACCATACCATAATGGAACTACAAAATAACTGATAAAAAGATTTTTCAAGTATTTGTTTTAAGATACTCAAGGGCTTGGGAGATAACTAAAAGAATAAAGTGTTTGCTGCACAAGCATGATGATCTGAGTTTTTATTGCCAGCACTCACACAAAAAAGCCAAATGTGCTAGTGTGTGCACCTATAATCCCAATGCTGGCAGGCAGAGATGCCAGGGGCTTGCCGAGCCAGCTAGTTTAGCCCAACTGATGGACTTCAAGTTCAGTGAGAGACTCTGTCTCAAAAGATAAGATAAAGTCAAGGTCAGGCATGGTGGTACAAGCCTTTAATCCCAGCATTCAGGAGGCAGAGTCAAGCAGATCTCTGTCAGATTAAGGTCAAGCTGGTCTACACAGCAAGTTCTAGGCCAACTGGGGCTACAGGGAGACCCTGTCTCAAAAAAAAAACCAAAAAGAAAAAAAAATTAAATTAAATTAAAATAAGGTAGAAAGTGACTAAGTAAAACATTCAACATTGACTTCTGGCCTCCACACATTACTTTCTTATGGTAGACATTTTTGTTAGTATCAGAAAATTCTGAAAATACCAGTGAAGGTGAACTCTGTATATCTCAGTTTAGGTACTCACTTCAAGAAGACCAGCTTTTGTGGTCACCACCAACATATCAGAATTTCCTTCATCTTCCATAGTAAGCAACTCTTCAACAGGAGACGCAGCTCGGAGCTGGAAAGGGGTACTTGCTCCACGAATTTCACCCTTATGGGTGACATAGCAGAACTGATAAAATTCCCCATCATCATTTGGAAGGTAATATCCTAAGAGATGGTTAACAAACAAAGGTTATTAAACTTGTTGATAAAATGTTATTTTAACTCTTTGTTTTTATTTTTATGTGTATCCATATACTGCAAGCATGTATGCAAGTGTAACCGTGTCATGCAATGCCCAGAGAGGACAGAAGAGGGCGTTGGATTCCCTGGAACTGGAGTTACAGACAGCTGTTAGCCACCATGTAGGTGTTGGGATTCGAACCCAGATCTTCTGTAAAAGCAGGCAGTGCTCTTAACCTCTGCGCCATCTCTTCAGCCCCTATTTTAATTTCTTTAACAGTATTTTCCATCTTATTTTTCCACTCTTCTTCAGCACATACCAGGAATAAGTCTTTCCTTCTAAGGTTCACAAATACACTTATCTGTCCTTCTAAGGTTCACAAATATATTTATCTGTCCAAAGTACACTCTTTCCTTTTGAAACACACCCCAAATTTTCATCTCTTAAGATTAAACTTACACATACAGAATACCCATTCAAAAGCAGCTCATCCAGGAAAGGCAAATATGTACTTCACAATGGGACATGGGCTGGAGGAGGAGCAAGGGAAGACCCAAGTAAAAAACTAAGGACCTGAGGTAGAAGTGGCCATACATCATTTAAAGAATTTTTCCCTCCAACTTGACATTTATTACATGTGAAAAAGGAAATACTAACTACAGGAATATGCTATGAATGTGAACTATTTAAAGGCAAAAGATGAAGTCCACTGGTGTTGGGGACCCCTGCTGTTTAGAGTAGCAGTCTCCCCATGTCTGGATAGCCACAAGCTGGCTCGGCGCGAATGGGGAGACTCCCCTTCTCAGCGGGGCGCCTTCTGCTCTCCTCCCTGACTTACTTTTGAAATGCCCGTCACAAGATACATGCCCTCCGGCACAGGAGCTACCAGGTTTTAATCAGGCGTTGTCTGATAGCCTGATAGAAGCCCACCGCCCTATGTAAATGAAGCACTCCAGGAGTACCTATCAGCTAAGGCTTCTTCTACTGTCTCCACACTATAAATAGTCCTAGTTTTACCCCAATAAAGCTGGAGCTGGAGCTGAATCACTGAGATCTGAGCTGAGTCACTTGTCTGAAGCTGTAACACTAAATCCTGTGATCCAGTCTCCCCAGGGGGGGGGCTATCCTTCCGTCATCGACTCACGAAGACCCTGCTTTCGCCGTTTCTCACACCTCCCCTCGTGACCTGGTGGCCAACAGGTCTCGAACTTAGAGACAGAGTGCATGGTGGAAATTGAAACGGAACCCAACCGGGCAGCTGACAGCGGTCCTAGAGCCGCCAGCTCTGGTAGCAGAGACCCTCAGCAACGCGGTGCGCGAAACCCGCGCACCCCAGTGGCAGAGAGCCAGGGACCCAAACAGCAGACGCGGCCCGCAGGACCCGCCGCACTCCAGCGACATGTGGGAGACTGGCGCCATGCCCAGCAGCTGGCACCCTGAGATCCCCGCACGCCCATACACTGGTACAGCACAAAAACAAATTAGTAAGATTTAGAACTACATAGCTGTACATAGTTCAGCAGTATGTATAAAAAGCCATATATCTGAAAGTTTCACAGGATCTACAAATAAATGTATTTATACCATTCAGCCACTATCTGACAGTATGTTCAGTATTTATTCCTTTCTTTTTTCATTTCATTATCCTCCCTTTTAAATTTTGATAGACTGTCCTAATTCAAAGTTAATCTCTTTTTTTTTTTTTTGGTCTTTTTGAGACAGGGCCTCCCTGTAGCTCCAGCTGTCCTGGAACTCACTATGTAGACCAGGCTGGCCTTGAACTCACAGATATCCGCCTGCCTCTGCCTCCCAAGTGCTAAGATTAAAGGCATGTGCTACCACACCTGGCTTTCAAAGTTAATCTTAATCACCTCTTTAAATATCACATTTTTTACAGTCTGGCCTCCACAGCTACCAGGAACACTCGTGGTACACTTATATATGTGCAGGTAAAACATTCATACATAAAAAATAAGTCTTAAAAAATTTTGCTACATTAAAAAAAAATTCTAAATGCCCATTAAAATATGTGATATTTGGTATTTGTATTTGTATGACTTCTGCACAATAAAAACATGAATTAATTTAAGCATGCATAAAACAGGTAATTATACTACATTGGGATTGGGATGTAACATTGTGATGGCAGTAGAGGCATCTAATCTTATTAAGTTCTGTAGTTTTCAGTTCTTACCTTGAAATGCTAGTACACAATTGACTGTTGATCCTTCTACATAATGTTCAGGCATAGGAGACCATAAAAATGTGTAATAATCACGAGCAGTACTCCATCCAACCTAAAGGAAAAAAATTAAAAGGGGATATAGTAAATAGTTTAATATTGGCTAGATGCAGCATTTTTAGTATGTCCTAAAGTTATAAAATATGCATTTAATGTTTACAAATCTCCAGTAGTTAACAAGTATGTCCAATTATGACTTTCAAAAGCCTAAAGTTAAATCTACATAAACTGAATTAATTTCGATTATATAGCCAAGAGCAATCTGTTACCTATTTTGTTCAAGGATAATCAATATGCACATATGATGTAGTCTTCTGCTTAAAATTTTGTCACCACACATAGTGAATTTGTGTGTAGTATATTCATGTTCGTGTGTGTACGTACATGCAAATGCATCCATGTAGTGGCCAGATGTTGGTGCTGAGTGTTTTCCTCCATTGCTCTCCATGCTGGTTTATAAGACAGAGTTTCTCATTGATCCTGAGGTTCACTGATGCAGCTAGACTAGTTGGCCAATAAGCCTCAGAGGACCTCCTATCTCTGCCTCCTCAGTGCCAGAATTACAGATCTACACATCAGGCTTTTTAATGTGGGTACTAGGGATCCAAACGTAGGTCCTCGTGCTTGCATGGCAAGCACTTTACCAACTGAGTCATATCTCAAGCACTTCACCAATTGAGTCATATCTCAGCCCCCACATAGTATATTTTTAAGAACTTATTTTATACCCCACATTTAAGTTTTTGGCTTTGTTTTTACACAGACACTCTCCTTCTTTAAATTCAATGATCTCTCATCTTTGGTAAGTTTTGTCTGAAAGCAATTTATAAATATTGTATATGGAGGGAAGCATTTATAGTTAAAGAGATCACTTATTTCTCACCTACTGATACAATATTTTCAACTTAAGAAGAGAGGTATGCAGGGGAAAGAGGCTCAAAGGACCTTATATACCTGTATGAAAATGGCCTATCCAACACAGTGAATAACCACACACAATGAATAACACTAATGAAAATAATGCATATGTTTTCAGCTTAAGACATAGATACACTATAGATCTCAAGCTGTGTTTTCCCAATATAGTATATTGTATTAAAATACTGAATACTGTGTTAAACTTATTAAAGATAATTTTAAAGTGGGTGTATTTGGTAGCAATACTACATAAAACTATGACTCTACCACATGGTTAGATTATATACATTCTATGAAATTGTAAGTCCTTTTTATTACATTTATTTATTTGTGTGTCTACACAGGTGGGGCAGAGACACTGATGAGTCAGTTCTCTCTTACTACCATGTGAGTCCTGGGAATTGAACCTTTACCCTTTGAGCCATCTCATCAATCCCAGTTATATGATTTTGATTGGCCTCAGTTTACAGACAAAACAATATTGTGGGAGCTAACATATAAAACTGCTATATTTTATATATGATTTAAGTAACACTAGATACAGTCTTTAACATGAATGTTTGCTTTGGCTTATTATATTTGTTAGTTTACAAACGAGGAAACAAAAAAATGGGTGGCAAACTGCAGTCAGAATTTGAACTTCAAGTTCAAAGTTCTTAACCACCAATGTACTACTCACTGCTCTCCTGGCAGAATAGAAAATGCTTTTCATATTTTCTGAAATTCCACCTCTTTCCTTCCAATACTGGCACTATGGCTCTATAATTCCTGAGATATATACTTGATAAAAATCAGAAAAGAGTAAGGAAAAGAGAAGAAAAATAAAAAATGTGGGAAATAAGATATTTTACCAAATAAATGAAGTAAAAAGTAATGTTGGAAGACTATGTGTGATCCCTAGTCTAATCCCAGACAGACATCAATTTAATACATAATCCAGAAAATTCTTTGTGAAAACTCCAAAACCAATTAAGCAAACAAATACTCCAGGCAAGCTAAAATTCAAGAATAGTTACATTGAAAAATGACAGAATTTGTTTCATAACAGCTACAAGGACCTTTCTGCCAAGTAGGCACAATTCAGCAGTATCAGGAAAAGATCCAGGTTTTCAGTTTCTCCATCTAAGGGGTAGGGGAAGACGGGAACATGGGGGTAACATTCTTTTTGATGAACCTGCATGCTTCTGCCTCATCTGCCTCACCTAACTTGGCACCGAAAAACCAGCATACTCTGTACGTGAGCACTGTGGAGAAAGGACTGCTTAACAGATGGTTCCAGAGAACACGCAGTACCACAGACAAACACAAGAGGGAGAAAACAATACAAACTCCTGAAATATGCCAATAGAATCCTGAAAACTGTAATGCAAGGGCCTGGACACAACACATTCCAGCAAAAGATTTATCAGGGTGTTTGGTGAAAGTCATCCCTGTACAAAACAAGTCTGCAAAGGCTAAAAGAGGAGGCTATTTTATGGAATGCACAAAATAGGAAAAAGGAAAAAAGTCCTATGAAGACATGGAAGTAAAGCCCAACAGAATAAAGAAAATCTTGAGAATAGCAGTTGAGCTAAAAGGAAATGACCTAAGAAACAGAGTTCAATGAATTATCTGATCAAAAATTCCAAATATTCATTTTAATGAGGTTTAATGCATTATCAGAGAATTACAGATAATTAATTATACAAAACTAATGAAAGCATAACAGAGAATACCA